AACTGTGCCTTGTAGCATCTCAAGTGTTTCGCTCTGCCTTCGCACAAGCCACAGCATATGGCAGGGAATCTGTACAGTAGGTTTTTGCAAGTGCAGGAACAGAGAAAACTCTTGGGAGAGTGGAATGTCTGATGCTGAGGCAATCACAGATTTTGTGGAACATGCAGGCTTTTTTTACTCTCTTCATGAATTAAATTTAGGATGCTGTATATAGTTCAGTACTTCTCACACATAAATCTGAGTATATTGAGAAACATGCTTTAACTACTCTCTTTTAACTTGTGGGAATCCATGTTTTATTGAAAATCTTGATATTGTGAATGAGGTTTCCATGTAATCATCCCCCATTGCTGTCTGTGGGACTTTGAGGCTGCTGGACACCAAAGAGAGTTTGAGTATCGAGGTTCACTTCAGAAGTGAGGTACTGGCTCTGCAGGATATTCCAGTATGATGTGGAATTGAGGTGTGGCAGGAAAGGCATGGGCAGGGCATGAAGGGAAATGCAAAAAGCGTGGCAGTGAGGCCACAGCAAAGATCACAGTGCCCAGCTCGCTGCCTCTGCATGGCTCAATTTTTGCATGGGGACAAAAAAAACCCCAAAGCCTTGCCTGCATGCTGCCTTGTAATCTATTGAGGAAAAGCTGGCTCTGTGCACATGGAAAGCTATTGGGTTTCATGCATACCAATGACAAGATAAAGGGTTTCCCATATTTATTTATAGCATGTTGTTACTTGCAGTAATGCAGAGTGAGTCCTTTTAGGAGAAAGGGGTGAGGAAGGTAAGGGGATGCTGAGTGCCATTAAGGTTTGTGCTGTTTGGGCTGGGAATAAAAATTCTAGCATAAAAATTAATCTCCACATTTATTAATTTTCATGGGAAGTTTTTCTTCATGGAGCAAAGGTTAAGTAATGCATTTGTATGGTAAATGTCATAATTTCTCAGTTGGCTTGGTTTGAATAGTCAATAATTATTCTCTGTGATGCTTGTGACCATATTGAGATTTTATTCAAAAGCCATTGAAGTAAGCACAAGGGGGAAAGTTACTATTTTTGTTTTGTTATTGTTTGGTATAGGCCACATGCACAATGCTGTTCTTCATATTTGAAATCCCTTTCAAAGATATTTCAACTCACAACAATACACAAAACACACAATAGAACCAGAGGATCCAGTGATTATGGCTGGTAATGATAATGTGGATTTAGGTGCTGACAAAGCCTATATAATTAGTTTCAATTAACTCATTTTTTTCCCCTCAGTAATATGGTTAGAATCATACTAAAGGACCTTGTACCAGCATTCTTCCTTTTATAATAAAGTCACAAAGAAGAGGCCAATTTCAGCTTGTGTGCAATAAAAAAAAACAAAAAAAAACCTACCATATCCTTTAGAAGTAAGAGACATGAGAAAAATGTTTCTCCCCTACACTTTTTAATCCTCTAAAGATGTATGTTCATGCTTCAGTAGGTCTTTCCACATGTATAAAGCAAAAAGGGTACAGCCTGTAAGAGTAAATTTTAAAGAGCAAGGGAATTTAAATACCCAAACCCCCTAGAATACAACGTGTACTTTTTTTTCCTAATGAACATGAAATTTAACTGTGCTCTGAGCCATGGGTTAGTGGCAGTCATCTTGTGTTTCATAATAGCAGCAAACAAGTGAGATAAGCTTAGAAAAATTTCGTAGCAGGTTGGAAAATAAGAAATAATCAGTAGCACAATTGAGAATGGGCTCCACATGTAAGGGGGCACAAAGTGAGTGGGGATTTATCTTTGTGAACTCAGCCTTGCCACAGGCACCGTGTTCCGTGTGAGTTTGTCTTGTCTTTATGTTCTGAAAAGGCCTTTCTTTCCATCATTTCTATTAAACAAATAGTCTGCATCTACACAGTTTGCTGTGTTACTTTTCAGCACTGTGGTTGTATTTTTTCTCAGTAGAGGTTGTGTATTTTTTGTAATTTGAATGCTTGGTGAAATTCACATTCTGTAGTCTTAATCCTCAAGTGGATTATCTAGGAATATCCATGGCAGTTTATATTTTGGTTTTTAGCAGAAATATTTTCTTGGCTGCTCATTAAATGAGGAATCCTCTCCCGAGAGTATTTATTTCAACAGACTGTAATTGAGGCGATGTACTTCACAAGGAATATATGAATATATGTGAATAAAGAGAGACTTATCATTTCAGTCACACTTTAGTTTACCTTGGGAAGTTAGTTTCAGTATGTAAATACGTGCATGCACCAGCTGATGCCAGTCCTTGAGTGAAGGAGAAGGAATTTGCAGTTCTTCTCTTTTCTGCACTTTGAATTTCTGCAGGTTTCTGTTATGTGAGAGCCCAAGTGCTTTGCCGTGCTCGGCTACAGCCTTCTCCAGATTCAGGCTGGTTTTGATACTCCTTGTCTGGAGAGGATCTCAGCTGTGCTACCTGTGCTCAGCACATTAGTGAGGTTAAATCAAACAAACCATGAGGAGACCTGCTGAGAAAGACAGATTACATTGCTGTTAGTAAGGTGAATTTTAAATAAAGCCAGTGTGGAAGATTAGAGAATGAAAAAATGCAGAACTGATTATATTTAAAGATGTTGGAGACAAAAAAATGGTGGAATCCGATACGTAAATAAATATTTAAAAGATGTAAAAATGAGCAAAGGTGTCTAGAGAAATGGAGTGCAGTTAATCAATAAGAACTTCTTTAAATATGCACTGTACAAAGTAAACAAAAAAGAAAGAAAATATTGATCAGCATGTGTTGAAAGCTGGTGACAGGGATTAATCTGACTACACAAAAGACTTAAATCTTCACATAGTTGTTTCAGCAAGATAATATTGTCTGGTCTCTGAATTGCTTTTATCTTGGTAAGGCTTATTCTAAATCATCTTTAACAAGGCAGTGATCACTATTGAGGACTAACAAAAGAGCATAGCTGCATTAAACTCACAGTTTCTCAAAAACAAATAGCAAGAGAAAATATAAAGTATTTACTGAGGGCATCTGTTGAAAGAAAATCAAAATTAAGCCTATTTGCACACATTAATTGAATGAGTTTGTTTTCATAAACAGATTTTTTAATTGTTACTTATATGGAATGTTTGATTGAAACTGCAGTTCATAACTGTATATGGTTTGGTTGTGACTTAGGCAGTAGGTGCTGAAATCAGTACTTAGGCAGAACAGGTTAACAATTGCTGAAATGAAGAGTATTTGAATGAGTTGCAGTGTTATTACATCAATGTAGGAATTCAAATTTGTTAGATTTGTGTATTACTGTGGAAATGGAAGGTGGGTAACTGTGTTTGCACAATTGCTTTTAATAGCAAACAAATTAAACCCCAAACATTTAGTTTAGTACCTATAAGGATTTACTGTCTAGATCCAGATTTTTTACTTCCCAATGAGGAATAGGCCTAAAGGAACAGGAATCAGTTTTAGTGCAAAACAGGATTTCCTCCTGCATTACAATTTTTCCAGTTGTATTTTAGACAGGTGAAAAGACTATTTGTTTCTTTTTAAGATAGTGTTTTAGAAGTACAACTTTTATAATTTCATATTTAAATGATGAGGAAATGTCAGCAGAAGCTGAGGACATTTTGTATCTTAGGAATGGCTTCTGGATCACTGTGGTGTTTGAGAAAGCAAGTAGGCAAGTAATTAAAAAAATCAAGATTTGATACTGTAATTTCATTTTTAATAGCTTACAAAAAAAGAACTGGGACTTACAAGAGACAAATGCTTGTGTTTAAGATTCCAAATGTTTAGTAACAGCACTGTGATATTCATTCTTGAAAAATTAATAATCAGTACTGATTAGGATACTGTAGATGGTCTTCAGCGATTTGCCTAGATTTACCTTGGTGTTTTCATGCAATTATCTCAATTCACAAATTACCTGTTGTGAACCTGAGAGTCACAACCTTGGAGCTGCTGCCACATACTTGGCATGTGTGCCTGGTGCTCACGTCGGTGGGGAGCTCCAGCCTGGGAAGGAAATGGAGCCTTGTGGGCACACAGTGCTTGATAATCCTACGTGTTGGCTTTCCACCTGGAATATGTGGATGGAAATACTGCATGTTTGGAGGAACCAGTCTTAAAAAACAGCAATCTGTTTGGCATCTTAGCACTTTGAACTGGAAAAGTGGCTGAAAGAATAAACATAAAATATAGCACTTAAGGAGCTGTTGAATTGAATGTGTGGATCTCCAGTTGCTTATCAGCTCCTGCCTGCTGTCATGAATGAGTGTTTTCTCTTATTTACTTAGCTTTTTTTCTTTTTTTTTACTTTCATTCTCTTTCTGTTTTAAAGTTACTTAGACTATTATGAGATTTATAGAGAAAATTTGTTTTTTTAAAAAAAATAAACACTTATTTACACAAAGCAATATCTGGTGCTTCCTAGTAAAATAGACATTGGGTTCCATGCCAGTTCATTGAGTTAATTTTTTATTCTGGCATGTTTTGCATAAGCTCCAGGACATGGGAGTAAGGCATTGTAATCACCATCCAAATAAAAAATAAAAAAAAAAAAATTACATTTTTGGGGTAGTTAAAGGAGAACTCTGATTCTTGTGGGATATTACAAGAGCTCTGATGGCTTTTTTCCTTAAGCCAGAAAAACGCTGTGGTTGTAGAGCTCTTTATCCTATTGATGGTAAAATCTTTTTTAGAAAGAAAAAAATATTTTATTTCTTTTTTGTTTAAGAAAAGCTGAAAACCAGCATGTAGGGCAGAGAAAAGATTTAACTGTCCTGATTGTCTTTATTATGTATCTCTCAGAGTGTATTGGGGCCGTTTTCTAAAACTTCCCGAGGAGGCCACAAGTGCATGAACCTCACCTAGAGGAGAGGTTCAGAGAAGCATCCGCTCTGAGGAGGAGGAATTAGCTGGCCCAGACCAGTCCCTCGTATCTGTCCATTATCAGTGAAACCACGAGGTGCTGCAATGCCCTTTTTGCAGGAGCTGTTTGCTGTGCTTTCCTAACTGTGCCCTTTGCTGCCCACAGAGAGCGAGGAGGTGTACCAGCGCCAGGTGCTGTCCATTGCCTGCATCGTCTTTGGCATCGTCGTGGTGGGCATGCTTTGTGCAGCTTTCTACTTCAAAACAAAGTAAGAGCCTTCCTCTGCTCTGCTTGGGGTTTGGCTGCTGTCCTTTTCTCACAGCTTTAGGGTTCTTCAGCTTCTGCCCTCCTTCTGAAGTTGCTGCTGTCTCTGGTCTGGCCACAACAGTTCCCCATGGCTACACTGAGTCCACCCCAAAACATAAACAGGAGCAACACGTGTTTTTCTTTCTATTTTCTGATATCAGGAAAGGACAGATTGTGTCATTCCCAGTTCTTTTTTTTTTATTTGACAGTAATAATTTTGTGTCTTTTACTATCATGCAATAATCACTTGACTCTTCTGAAAATGACAGCTTCAACATACCATCTCCTTTATGCATTTCATTTCATATCCCTGAATGTCCGTTTCTGCATGCTGAGAACAAAAGTAAGGTTAGAAATGCAGAAACAAGTCCTCTGCAGATATCTGTAACCTGTAGCTAATACAGCAGCCCATGATGAAGGTGCATATTAGTATCTGTAACACAGAAGCACTTTGGCCTATCCAAGTACAGTGAAATCATCTGGACTAAACTATTTTCAAGTTAAATACTGTCCACTCTATATTTATCTTCCCAAATTAATATTATTTTATAATATTTATTGTTATGTGTGTAATAATATTTACTTATTTATAATATTTATTGTTATGTGTGTAATCTGAGTTGCAAAAAACTCATAGCAGTTACATGACACACATGTCAGTGCTCCTGTATCGATAAATATATTCTGTGTGGTGGTCATCCTTCATTCCTGTTCCACCTGGAGCTAATGAGAGAACACAAATCAATGTAAAAAAGTATCTGGTACCTGTGTGAGGCTAGTCAGGGTGGCTGACCATCAAAAATGTGAAAGTTGGCACTATTTAAAAGTTTGGATGTTTATCTGAATCCCCCTTTCTAGAATTTATTTTAATGTCTAGGAAATTTAATGAGGAATGGATTTGATTTAGAAATAAAAATTTAAATTGACATTTATATCCAGGGGGAGGGAAAAAAGAAAAGAAAGATAAGGAGGTCACCAGGTCCTTTTTACCCCTTTTTCTTCCCCTCAGACTTCAGGGGTAGGTTATGAGTGAAGATTTGAGTTGGTTCACGTTTTTTCTAAATTACTCTATTGTCTTGAGGGATTTTGTTTAATTGTTCTTTGGACATCCAGTGTGTCAGTCGTGCTAGCTGGGAAGGACAGACTGGCAGGACAGTTCCTCCCTGTACAGCAAACTCCTCTGCAGTGTAACTTGTGAGCAGAGACAGCCTCTTTGGCACTGCCATTAGAAATGTCACTATGCATTTTACATCTGCAGATCTTAGAAGAAAGAGTGAGTGAGAATCTTCCTGGGAAGGCTTGAGGGTTTTACTGATGAGGAGAGTTTCAGAAAAGGCAGGATGGGATTGTTAGGAGGAGGAACATGCCATCAGTGTCTGAGCACACTGTGAATAAAAAGCCCCTCTGTTATCCTCAGTGCCCCTCTTGGTCTTGCCCTGCTGTAGGGAGTGGTGAGAGCTGGGTTGGAACAGCCTCCAAAACACCCTGGCTTTGATGAGGAGGTGAGGAGAGTTACGTCTGAAGATAATGACTGGAAATAACACTTGAAAGAGGAACTTAACAGGACAAGGGGTTTGGGGCTCTGTCTGCATTATAAATACAACAGTTACTGAGAAGAGTTGAAGTGGGCTGGTGCCAGACTCTGGGAACTGAAGTTTGGAGAGTTATGAGAAAATGAGCACCCCTGGTTCAGTCAGGAGGCTTCAGACAATGTATGAATTGAGTAAGGAGACTGCTCAGTCCCTAACATCCTGGCTGTGGCTCCTTCTGGTGCTGTCCAAAAAGGAAATAAAAGTGTCTCAGCTGGGTCTCATGGGGGCCAGGTAAAATTGTAAATGTAACATTGGTCAGTGTCTTAAGGGTGTAAAACCCAACAAATTTGAAGTGCCCCAACACTTATCATATGCTAGCTTTTAGTCAGCAGGTTTTTGGGAGCTTCTTTTTAAGGCATGTGTACCCTGACTGTGCTTAAGAATTATCAAAGCATTCCTGTTGCATGGGGGTTATCTTGGGGTTTCATTTGACGTACAAGAAATTTAGAATATTGCTAATAGAAATAGAAACTCTGAACAGGGCATCCATTAAGAGAAAAGTTTCCATGAAGATCCTAACCCTCACTTACTTAGTCTGACAATTCCATAATATCAGCTGCTAGAAACAGGCACTTCCCTATATGCCATTGAATTAAAAGTCCTTTTTTAAAATAAATTCAATCTGAGAAAGTTTAGGACTATAATTAAACTCTCTGCCCTTCCAATTATTCCTTTTAGGTTAATCAAGAAAGTGCTGGAAGTGTTAGCAACAGATGAAGAATACAGTAATGGGCTGCCCTTTACAGCTTACACTTTTACAAATGACTAGTGACTTTATTTCTTGCTGAAGTAAGAACACTTCACTGCCAAATAACTCTAGTTATAGTTATAGTAGAACACATAAGGCCCATTTGTTTTGAAAAAAAAAATTATAAAATAAATTTATTTATCAGCAAGTAACTTTGAATTATTAATGGTTTCTAGTTTTATAGCTGTGCATCCTATAGTTTTGCAAAATGAATATGCATAAACCTGATATTAATGTTAGGTTGCACGAACATAAAAGCAAATTAATGATTGGATTGTTTTTCTCAGCAAATTACCTTCAGGAATTTCAATTGTAGTGTTAAAAGTTGCAGTAGCGAAGCTGAATATTCCAGTTTACTTACACGTGTTTATATACATAGAAATAATTCTATTTATTTTTCTAAAGATTCCAAAATCAGTTTTGTTATTTTCCTGATTAAATTGTCATTTTTTATGTATATGAGAGGTTCCCAAAGTCTGATGCTGTGATCATGTTTCACTATCATTGTTCATAACTTATATGAAGTCATGCAAAAATTTCCTGAATATTCCATAACCTCTCTGGAGACCAACATGGAAGAGGCTGGTTTTCCAGTAGGACATAGGAATTTCCTCTGTGTATGTAATTTAGCTGGTCAGAAAATAGTTGTACATAAAAACTCTAAGGTTGCTTTTGTGAATCTCCCCTGGAATTTTATGAGAAGCTGAAGAGCTCATTTAGACATTTTACAAATTAAATTATTCAGTTTCATTGGATTCAAAAATTAATGAACATTAAAACATTTTTAAAAGAGATGTTTCATACTCAACTGACTAATTTAATTTGACACTATATTCCTTCAGATTATATATCTATTCAGATTATTCCAGTATTAACTCTACAAGGTTTGGCTAAAGAAAATTTTGAAAGTTTTTTTATGCTTGAGAAATTATTTCCTCACCTACCTCTATTCATATATTTTACTAATTATGAGCTTGTCCTCGGTGACAATACTCAAAACATGCCACTCCTTTATAACATGCTTACAATATAAATTCATTCTTTTCCATTTGCTTCAAAATAGGATGCAAGTAGAAAGCCTAAGAGGTACTTAGAGTCCTGGATTTGTTATGGCTTATGACCTGCACTCAGGAAACGAGCTGTAACAGAGGCTTTTAAGCAAGTACTTACAATTTGTTGAATTTAAGCAAATGCTTACATTGTGTCATACTGAACCAAAACTGAGGGACTCAAAGACTATTAATATCTATGTTATTAAAATTGAATATTTGAACTGTGATACTTCTCACCACTTACTTTCATATTGAGGGAACTTGTTCTCTCTCACTGCACTGAATACACAAGTCATTTCTGCTTTCTTATACCTTCCAGGAGTAGACACATATTCCTCTGTGAATAAGAAATTAAAATTAATTTTATACTTCATTCAGTGTCAAATTCACTGCCTGACCCAAGATCCTGTCAAACTTACTGATGTCACAAGGCTTTCCACAATCAAATTACCACAAATGTTTCAAAATGCTGCTGAAGCTTCTTTGCTGAAATTTAACTTTCAGTATAGAAAGGCCATATTTTCTTTATCTCTTATTGACATTTGCCAGAAATCACTTCCTTTGGAAATTTGGCTTGGCACCAGTTGCTGTCCAAAACCTGCTGGTGGCAGAATGAAATGCTGCTACTGGTGAGTCCTTGACATTACTGGGTTGTTTCCAAGGCCATTGTAGGTTCACTGCTGGAGATGCATCTTCTGGGGACAGAAAGGAAGCAAGGAAGGAAGGAAGGAAAGAATTAAAATGGTATTGTGAAGTTTTTGCTCATAATTGTTTAAAACTGATAGTCCCAGATAATGTAGCTTATCACAAAAAAAAAAAAAAAAAAAAAAGGAAACTGATAGAAGTCCTTAAAGGTATTTTGCTAACAGTTTTTCCCAGCTGAGATAACTTTTTGCACAAGATAAAAGTAATATTTAAAGTTTGCTGTCTCGTATCCTCTATCATGTACAGAACTTAAAAAGTGTTTGTCACTCCCACTCAATATAGTGTGGCAGAAACACAAAGTCTTTGTTAGCAGTATAGTTATCTCCTGAATAATGCAAGGGATTCATCTTGTGGTGTTCCTAGCTCTGACAGGGTGGATTATAGTCTAAGTCAAAAACACGGCCTCAGAGGCCATACTGATATTTTTTCCAGGTTTAAGCATATAAGCAGAAGCTGCTCTACACAAGATGTGTTATAGGTCAAGTCTAATCAGCCAGCAGAAATCTTTGATTCTTCATCAATTTTTGTAGCCTGCAGGGGCTAATGCCCATTTTATTTGCCAAAACCTCTTTTCCAAATCAGAGCAAAATGCTTTTTTATTATTCAGACCGACTTGCAAGCTATTGTTAAATGCTCAATAGAATCATCTCACAAAACTCTGCACTAGCACAAGGAGCATACTCTTAGAGTAATCTGAGAATAGAAGGTATTTTAAAACAGAAGAGAGAGGGTTTTTTCCCCCCTTTGTTAAGCCTTGCCAGGAAACAACCGCTGCATTGAAGTATCACACATTAGTCAATTAGCTCAGCTGGCTCATCCAACACGGTGAAGTTTGGAACAAAGGGAGATGTGGCTATAAAAGTATCATGCCTGTAGCAGAAGATCAGGAGAGCTCTTTCTTACATGAGTTTTATTTCTCTCTGCAGGAAACAAACAAAGCAAATTCACGAACAGCTGAAGGAAACGCAGAATAGGAAAACCTACAGCCTAAATGCTTCCAGCATGATGGCAAAGTCGGAGTGTATGGCACAAAGCCAAGTCCAGCTGCAAAATGTAAGTAATCCTGCCAGCTCCAGCACTTAATAGCCTGGCTGAGTTCCTGCTGCTGATGGCAGCACATCGTCATACTGCTATTAACATCTGAGCAATGGGAACCACAATTCTCACCTCTTTCATAAAATGCTTTTTCTATCAGGCCTCTTAATGGAAATCTGGGATTTTTTTCATAAAGTTATTTCAGTGGATCCTGGTGCATTTTGTTCATGTAGCAGAGTTTGCTGAGCCCCCCAGCTCTGCATTCAGCAGTGGGAATTACTGTTATAGTTTCCAGCAGCACCTGAGGTCATATATGTCTCTGTGTGTAGTGGGGGTCCTTGAACGTGATGTCATGCCTTCCAGTAATTTATGATCCTGCATGAAAAAAACATAGAGATTTGTCACAGAGTATTTAATTCAGAGTAAATTCAAAATCTAGAACTAAATTTACCCATGTAAACAAATGCCCAAGGGAAGACCATGCAGATGGTCTCATTTTTCTGGGTCTTTAGTTAAAGGTACTTTTGTTTACAGAAAGAAATTAGTCTGTTCAAAATATATTTGAAATATATTTAATAATTTTATGAATATAATTATATGTAAGTCATTACAGTCTCACAATCATGAAATATTTAAAGCATGTTTGAAATAAGGAACTTGAAGACAACCCATTTATTTAGCCCTGGTATTTTCTTTAGGAAGGTATTTTCAGTATAAGTCATTCCCTTTCCCCCAGTCACACACAGTTAGTGCTGTCTTTACTTTGAACAAAGCCTTTGGAAGGAGGATCCTGGTAGCAACATAATAGGAAAATATAAAAGATGTATTAAAACCTTTCTAAATTATTAACTCTTTTTTTTAAAAAAAAAAGTATCTTAGTACTGCTCAAAGGAATAACTACCTTATTTGCCAGATTCCATCAAAATAGTGGGACTTCAGCAAAAGTGAGCACTCATGCGCACTTAACCAAAGATTTCTTAACTCCTAGTTTACATCCAGTTAATTTAGAGATAAATATAAGCCCTTTTAACCAATTTAGAGCAAGCAGAGCCTCCCTGCTAAGACACAGAGGCTGTCAGAGTGTTGCTTGTATTCACTGAAAATTCTGTTTTGTAGGAATACCACTGTGGTCATCCTGTATATGCTCATGATAGGCTTTGTAATTCAGGAAAAATGTACTCTTTCAAGAAGGAAGATGGCTCCACTCAATTGACATAATCAAAGCTGGGGGAACCTTGTGCAATTTTTTTCTCTCACTTTCAGTCATTCAGCCTTCTATTACTTCTAGCACAAAAAAAAAAAAAGCTGTTGGGAGTGTTGTTGGTTGTAATGATGGCAATGACAGGTGAAGTTCATGATCCTTTTGTTCCAGCCTGTGAAACAAGCCTTGGTTAACACAAGGAATATGCTCCTTGCCATTTTCTCACAGTAATTCAGTGCAATATTTTGTCATTTTCTTTTGCCATAACCATAGTGGCTGAAATAGCAGTACATAGATTCTTGATGTAGTGACTGAGCACCATCATTATATTTACTATTTTAATCCAAATTTGCTTTTCAGTTTTTAATGCTGTGCAGCCTGACATTATGAGTGCAGGTAATTAACACACCATTTTCTTCTTCTTGTGGCTGTTTGCAGACAACTCTTTTCTCCTTGCCATTAATGCATTCTCCCTTTGGGAAGATAGGAAGGAAGAAAAACAGAATGACCTTGTGCAGGATGCAGTGTAACAGTGTAATAAGGGTTTCTATTATCAGGAAGATTTTAGTGCAGGAATGCATGCAGGCAGCTCATGAAATATTTACAAAACTTGCCAGATTGGAGTCTGGGGGAGAGGGCAGGGGTTTGGTGAGGCAGTAGAAAAGGGACTTTGGAAAGGTATTTTGTAGGAATGGCTGAGAGACTCCTTCAGAGATAAGCTATCTGCCTCAGGTGGATGTGATCCCTCTGCTATCCCCATCTGCAGCTGCCACTGCATGGGCCTGGGGAGAAATCCTAGTTCTCTTCATTACCAGGAGCTAATAAATAAGCTTAAATAATGAGGACAGTTATTTTTTTTGAGACTACTCCCCCAGTCTGGCATTTTGGTTTAGGTAATCCTGGAAGTTGTTTCTTTTCCCACTCCATGTGCTCCCCCTACAAGCAAGAGAGTTTTCCCATTTACGTCACCTTTCTGTCTTTCCCTTGAAGATTATCCTGGATTTTTCTCTTGTCTCTTTTGAATAGACCTGGTGATGCTTTCAGGCTTTTCACACAGCTCTTTCTTCTTCTCCAGAGGAGAATGCTTTTGTGGAGACCTGAGAAAAGTTGCATAAGGTTCCTTATTCTTGATGACTATTCTGAAAGAACCATCACCTTTTGACTGAGAGGTTGCTATATTTAGTAAAGGTACATCTATCTTTCCAAATATGTTGCTTTAGAAGGAGGTTTAACTTATTTCCCAAGGCCCAGGGTATAGCAGACAGGGTTTCAAGTGGTTTGTGGCTATAAAGAGCTTGACCAATCTCGGTGAAGTAATTTTTCCTCCCACACTCAAATGTATTGCGTGTCCTCCACTCCCTGCCTCTGCTCATATATAAGTGAAATAAAGGGTTGGATTTTGTCAGGACAGCTGTGTTCTCTCTGAAGTCCTGCTGCTCATCACTGGTAATTGTGCTCATCTGTAACAAGTCTTATCCTCAGTACAAATTTCATTATTTTCCTAGAGGTACAAATTAGATGAAAAATACTGTGTACTTTAAGAGGTATTCATAAATATCTGTTTGAACACAGCTCCTAGGATTTCCTGAATCTCCTCCAAGTCCACTGCTTTTCCCAAACATTCCTGGCAGCAACACACTTAAATTCTTGCTAGGGTTTCTTGCCTCTTGGATTTAAAGACTAATGCATTGGTAATCTTGCTATAATTCTTCAGCCAGGAAGAGATAGATGTGCCAGCTTTTAATTCAGGATCTTTGAGGTACACAGGAGACTCAGATTTATTTCACCTAATGCATTAAACCTGGGATTTCCCAAGTATTAAGTACCCCTTCCCAAAGAGATCATCCTCCTTTCAAGAGATATTTAAAGGGCTGCTGCAAACAGTTAGGTCTCCACATAGTCAAAAGGAAGGAAATTGTCATTCTCCCTATCTAGAAAGACAAGTACTTGGTGCACCCTCACACACCATGAAGGAGGAGGTGGGGTGGCTCCTGATTCCTATCTGCTTTTTCCACATAGAGTAGAGGGTTTCTTTTTAAATTCTCACAACTTGGTAAATGGGAGTTGGAAAAAAAATAAAAAAATAAAAAAATAAAAAGAGTCAACTGAAGCCTCAACATTCCTTTAGTGATTCTGAGAATTGGCATGGCTTTTTAAAGTGGCCTTTTTCATCCTTGTGGTTTTTAATACCTTCTCCCATGGTACCAAGGAGATCTATTAATTTCCCATCACTTTCCCTCTGAGGTGGTTAATATGCTTTTCGTGCTGTACTGTGTGGTTTCCATTTTCACTACACTTGTTTCTAGTGACTTGCAACCACTAGCTACAGGTTTCTGAAATTCTTACAATGAGGGACAAAAAATGCTCCTTTTGCATCTTGTTGCCTTTTGTTCATAGTAGTAGGAAATAAAATATTTTCAGTCACTGTGATAGAAATGCAATTAATATATGTCAAGCAAGAGATACTTTAAATCTTTTAAAGGATTATTCTGTGGTTTTACCTCAGTTACCATTTGATTTATCAGCTAAGATCAAGAGCAAATTTCCCATTTCTGTATCACATGACTATTTAGGAAGAGCTGCCAGCATAGACAAACCTGAATTTACTGCCCTCTGTCTAGAGCCAGTGTTGGCAACAAAACATAGGGGAAGGGTAAGGATGTTAAATGTACCACCTGGTGAGCTTTTGAGCAAGCTGAGCCCCCAGAAAAATCACTGGCTCTTTTCCTCCTTGAGGCAACCTCTCTGAATGTCATTTACAGCTGACCCCTCTGCCTTCTCAGTTCTTTCTGAAATGGGATCCCACATCGCCTCCCTTCCAATGCCACATGAATTTTTGGACCTTTTACTGTTTTGGGGCAATTGCTGAGGGGGAAGAGCTAAGTAAAGCCCGGGAGAGGGATGGGTGTTTTGGTTTGCATAGCACCAGGCCAACAGTGCCAAGCTGCCCTGCAGCATTCGAGTGGCTTTGGTCATCCCTGAGCCCTGCATTTCAGAGCCGGGGATTCAAGGTGTGCAGCAGAGGAATTGTGCTCACAGCAATGCAGCAGGTCAGTGACAAAGGCTGAATTCTTGTCTCCTGGCTCAGGCTGCCTTCACAGATTCACTTAGCACTAACTAGCAGGGGGTGGAATTTTTATTGTCAGAGAGTTGAGTAATTGCGTGTAATAGATTATTTTCTCCTTGAAACAATGAAAAATTGGAAATTCGCAAAATATTTTTTTTAAATCTATCATTGTTCTTTAATTTATTTAGCCATATGCCTCAGTGTTTTTCAGTAATTTCTCAAAGAACCAATAATTAACAAAGAAGGCAATAAAACCATTAAAAAACCCGAATACAGATAAGATTTCAGTGATGCTTTCACCCTACTGGAACTGGCCTTTGAAAGGGTTTCACAGCTTATTCTCCATCATGAGAATATTCAGCAGCTCCCAACAGTCAGAGGCATCCATGGAGCTCAGCCCAGGTGAGAAGTGAGCTGTGAGAGCAGCAGGATGAGCCCTGCTGGGACATGGCTGGGGAATGATCCCATATTCTACTTCTGGGGGCAACAACTGATACTGCTGTAAGCTCTTCACAGAAGTATGATGGTATTTTTCCCCAGAGGTGATCTTAGAGAAGGGATGTAGCTCTTGGAATTAAACTAAAGGAGAATAAACCCGTGCTTAAATGTATTAAAATGTATGAATAATGTAGTACATCCAGATATGTTCAATTACACTGTTAGAATTCCCTGTATATTCACACCTCAATTTAAACTGTAATTCACATTTTCATTATAATGAATGTTATGACTGTTACAGGAATTGTGTGTTAAGTGGCATATGTGAAAAGGGGAAAAATGTTCAGTTAGGGGAAAAAAATGCCCTTTGTAGGCTGTGTCTGAGTGATGCTGGGTGCTGGACCTTCATTAAAGTTTGATGATCGACACCAGAGCAGCTTCTGGGGTCCTGGTGTTCCTCAGCTGTGAAGAGTTAAGGCTCTGTTTACCACCACTCCAGCCCACATCCACCTGAAGCAAGGATGTAGCAAAAGGCACAGCTTATCTCTGTTCTTTGTGATTCACTTCATACTCATGGACTTTTAGGCCATTCAGGCCTTCAATTTTGTATCATGAACAAACTCAAAGAAAGGACAGAAATAGCTTCTTGGCACTAGCAAGCCATTCTTTACATAGCTCAAATTGATTTATTCAGGTCAGAAATCAAAGCCAGTTTCATTTCTGCAGCTGGCAGGCTAACTATTAAAGTTTAAAACCTTCACCGACACGAGTACCTTAAAAATCATATTTCTGTCTGAATATTTTATCTACAACATTTACAAGTGACATCTAAGATCATGGTAACTGAAAGAAATGGGAGTGGAATATGTTTCTTCTTATTACTTCAGTTGTGTTTACTTCATGCATGCAGCACCATTATGCATATTGCCACTCCCAGCTTTGCCTTCAGAAGCATGAAAGCAATGATTTTGACCCTGTTTAACATGGGTATTTCACTCAACAGAAAGAGGCAGAAGAGCAGTGGAGAAAAACCTGAAGAGCTGTTACTTTATCTATAGAAATTGGTCTAAAGAAGTCTGGCTGTACTTAAAGTCCATGTAACCTATTTTTAAAAGTGAATATTCTTGTATGACTTTCCTTTTTGATCTTGCTGAAGTATACAGAAATGTAGATAAGAAAAAGTCAGAGTCAGAAAATAATTGTTGTTTTAAGCAGTTACTGATCTTTTGTTAGACAAAACTAATAATTATGAAGAATTGTCTTTTGAAGGAATGCCTACTATCTTCTCCATGAATTTCTATGCTATTGTATCATAACAAGACAATTTTCACCACTGTGATTTTTTTTCAAACATTTCAATTTTTATTTTCTTTCTAAAATATGTAATCGTGTAATTGCTCCCATGATACCAATCTGTTTTCAAGATAGCATGGATATCTAGGTGTCCAGTACTAAAAATACAAATCAAAAGGAAAACAGACCTATTAGTTTTAGTGCAGGTGCTTGTAATGCCATGTAAAAAAATCTGAAAAGTGCTTTATTTTTCACACTTGAGTGGAAATGTGAGTTTACCTCTCATATCTCGGAGATATTGCCCAGTGACCACTACATAACATGGAATCTTCTTACAAGCCCAAGTGCAGCTTTTTCTATACTTCAACTTTATGGCTCCACGCTGGTTGAGAGACCTTTTTTGTTGGGTTTTGGGTTGGTGGTTTTTTTTTTTTTGAAATTGCAGTTGAATCACAAAGCAAGAAGACAAATCTGTTCTTCTTCATGTCTAGTGTCTGCTTTGCAGACCTTTGTGTCTCACTCTGTGCCCAGAGACTGCCCTACGCCTACACCTGCCACAGGAAGAATTATGTTTACCCTGTTCTTACTAGCACAGATACTCCCAGGTCAAAAGTTTCAAGCTGGTTCAGAAAGATATCTGGCTCTGTGGATATGTTTGAAATATTTTTCTTACTTATCTGATGACACAGGTGCTGTTTCAGTTTGGTTTTCATAGTTGTACATGCTGATGATGAATGCAGTGTTTGACTGAAATCACCAAAGGACCGAGAAGTTGCTGACTGTCCTCTGAGATGTGTTTTGTGATCTGTCTCTGCACGGACAGCCACAAAAACAGACTTCCAGTCAAAGGCATCATTATTATGGGCAGATCAGTCTGTAATTTTGGTGCTAATGCTGATACCAGCGTTTTGACGTGCAGAACGTAATTGGGATAATGGTTACTAGCCCTTTCTGCTGTGTAAACAATACTGAATGAATGTGCGATTTACAATGCCTAATTTTGATTTAAAAATGCGCTAGAGCACTTCTTACCCAGCTCTGATATGAATTCAGAGTGAATAGCATCAACAATGTACTTTGTCTTGTGAGTATTAATTAATTTTATTCTCTCTGCTACAGTATTCAAAACCAGATAGGCATCCGGGGCCTATTCTGCACAAAGTTATGGAGTCTAGTTTTTCAGGCCCTCAGTCTTTCCCAGAGGCCTTGTCTCCTGACAGAGGAACCCAGCCCATCAAGCACCACAGGTGAGCAGAGTCTGTCTGGGGAGAGACTGGGCGGCGCGGCGCGGGGGTGCAGAACTGCTGATACGTGCGCGAGGTTATCGCGCGCTGGGGCTGGGTGAGCTGCTGGCTGCCCTGGTGCCAGCAGAGCCTCAGACAGATTATTAAGCAGCTGTCCACGCACGTTCTTGGCTGCAGACAGGAAAGGTAATAGCGATGCTCACTGCCTGCCTCTGCGCCAGTCCCGCGGGAAGCGTTTACAGGCGCCACCCAAGCTGCGGGCACAGCCCAGCCAGTACAACAGCTGCAGGAGGAGCAGCCTTTAAAACAAGACTTATCCATGTTCATGAAGTTAATGACTCATTTGCTTCAGAAAGACTTGGTTGCAAACCTGCAGCCTTTTTCACCCTTTCCCTTAACAAAAGATATGTGGAATGAATAATGACTTGTTTATGAAAACATGGTGGCCTTTGAAAAGGAGGCTTTAAAATGTTTGGATGGTCATTTCCAAGAGGAAAAAAAAAGAGAAATGTCACCCATCACTGGATGAGATTCAGATTAGAATTTTGCTTCTAACTTTTTTTGGATGAGAAAGATTGCAGGTGCTTCATTACAGGACTAGAAACCAAACTGGAGTCTGGTGCAAACAATAGTGTTGGTGGAATGACAGTGGTAACATCTGGTCCAGTGCACAGAGAGAGAGAAAAAAGGCTGAGAAAAATGAGTTTGGATTTTTTTCAGCTGGATGATCTGAAGTGGTAGACTTGTTTATTAATTTTTTATTTTTTTTTAACTACTTAGAAAGAAGTCTGAGATTGCATGAGGTTATGATCTGGCTTCTGTAGTACTTGGTGCACTTTCAGTGCATTCTCTCAGCCATCTATGTGGTTTTTCTCATTTGAATAAGTGATTTGCTTAACCTACCAAGTACCACATACAAGCCAGAAAGGGGTATTTGTGTCTTTTCTACTTTTACCTTAGTTAAGCCTTTAATTTGGCATGAAAACAATGATGTCAGTTGTCATATCAGATCCATTTCTTAGGTATTTCTCCTTATTACACAGAAATTTTCAAAACATGGTTAAAAATTTTATTAAACATAGATGAACTATGGGACCATTGCCTAGAATGCTTTCTACAGAAGTTCTGGGAAGAATTTTATCACCATTTAGTCACAACATGAAGTTTGGAAAAGAACTCAGAGACATTCCCTTACCTTTTAATAGTGTGATTGCACAATCCAAGAAACATCTTTGCTTCAGAACTAAGAAGTGGGATGACTAGTTAATTTATAAAGAATTCTTTTGTCGTTTTAAAGCTTAAGATTTATTATACAAGGCCCTTGTTTTATAAAACATGCAACAGACTTGAACGTTTAAGACGTACAAGACTGTCTTTAATTTATGCACCATGTGAGAGCTTCCTAATTTATTTTCTGAATAGTGTTCACTGTGGACAAATGGTCAAATGAGGATTTTATACTAAATATCCCTTCATTTCATTCCAAACCTGACTGAGCCTGGAAAAATTACATCAGCTCTGCAGGTTCTCTCTTTTATGCTGTTCTAAATTCTGTTGTTTTATTTCTGCTTGCTATGGAAATACTTTGCTTTACATCCAGACCTGTTTTGTCTGCTGGTGTTTTCAAGGACACTGATGATGGGTGATCATTTCTTAAAATCGGGAGCTGGCAGTTTCAGGTGCTGAAACTAATAAATTTTGGCCTGGAAGTAAGACTGTCAATGTAGGGAATCATTTGGAGTTGCTGAAATGTGACTAACAGAGACCAGCTAATTATTTCACTCAGATTATGGCTAATAGCAATTTTCTGTCTCAACAAACCTCAGCTACACAAAAAGAATTAATGCAGAGATTAGGTTTAAAATTGAAATTTAATCTCAAAAAATATTTACCCTGCGTTATTATTAATATCCTAAAATATTTTGCCTGCATTGTGCAGTGCTGTTATCGTAGAAGTTACATCTTCTGCTTGCATATGTAAAATAACTCTTAGAACTGTCAGAATTCAAAATTAACAAATGTGTTTAATCAGTAAACTTCCTGCAATGTATGTAATGTGCTCAAAAATGTGTCTTGGATTATCTGTTGATCTTGGTAAGAAGGAAATCCATGCTGCCTTATTTTCCAATATATAGAAATAAATTAGAGTTTTGTTAATTATGGGTTGAGTTGTGAGCCCATTGAATAGCAGTTTTCTTGGTAATTAGTCATCGTGACTTTCATTCATGGATTCAGTCATCCTTGATTTTAGAGGGATTCATTTCAGAGAATGCCATGGTGAAAGCCAAATGCAGAAGTTTTCAGCCTGGAGCAGTTGTATTGTCTTACAAAAATGCCAAAATAGGATAAACTTACCCTAAAATTAGTAATAATTTGTGTTTTCATTTTTAATGACCTTTTTACACCACAAAAAACATGGAAAAGCTTTTTTATTTTCATTTGGTAAGCATTTCACTCTTTATGATGCTAATGTAAATGATTCACTTTACAGTAGAGGAAAGAGTAAATAAAAGTTATCCTGTAAAATAAAACTATTGAATTTCAAAGAGCAAGCATAGATAAGCTAAAGCAACTAAGAATGTAAAGGCAGAGGAAGCCTGAAAGGAAGACGGTGTAAGGAATCTGCTATTTCCCCAAAGAAAAAGCAAAACTGATGATGGGACAGAGATCATAATTGAAGCAATTAGGGTAAGCCTGAATTAACACATTTCATTTTTTAATAAAAAGTTGGGATGACTATTTGAGGACAAAGGTCAAATATGAACAGAATCACATGTATGAAAATAGACATTCCTGTAGTCAAAGTGGAAGTAAAATGCAGAAATCAAAGCTCTCAAGATGGTTTGGTTAATCTTGATCAAGAAAATAAAATTGAAAGAACCAGTTCACAAAATTTCATGTCTGGGAGAAAAATCTATTAAAATGGGAACTGTGACATGAGATGATGGATTAGCAAGTGTCAAATATTTAGGAGGATGAAGAATTCATCAAAGTAACTAGGAACCTATGCTAAATTTGAATAGTCAAGACTTTAGGACAAATGTGGGGGAAGAAGATTCTTGCGATAGATATAAAAAAGGCAAAAAATTGTTTACTATCTTACCAACAGCAGGTACTGCAACATATGCACTGATGATTGTATTTATATTTGATGGGGCTGAGTTAGATCTCCACACAAGCTCAGTCACTGTTGCCATATGTGTCTAACACCTTTAAGGGGAGGAAGCTGGGAGAGGCAGAAAAACTCTGATGAGGATGCACAGAGGTGGTTAAAAGGGAGGGATATTAAGGACTTGTGTTGAGAAGGTAGGACCTTCACCAGTGCAGCACTTAAAGAGTCAGTCATCACTGGGGACAGCCTTTCTTTGTGCCATTGAACAAAGCTGGAAGGCAGCATAGCGTGAGAATGCACCACTGTTACCTCACCTGGTTCAAATGGCCTCCCAATTGCCATGGACTCCAATTGCACTCCCAAGCTAAAACAAGGAGTGAATGAGTCACGTTCCATGGAAAGTGTTAGAAGGCTGTCTTATGTCAGTCTTCAGTTCAAGAGACTGGAAAGGGTGTGTGACTGCTGTATGAACACATGAGAGCAAGCACTACAGAAGTAAAAGACCTATTTAAAATGAAGGAGTATGGTGGCACGTATACCAGCTGAATATTCATCAGAAATAATTTTAAACTGAAGTCTCAAAGCTTTCAGTATAGAACAACTCTCTGTAATAGTAGCCTGGATATCATCATCAGTTTGGGATGGAGGTTGATCAATGCACTGGAGGAAGTATATGCTGAGGTTATGGCAGATGATTAAACTCAGTGCTCAAATGCTCTGTTCCCTTTCCCTATGGTTCCATCACCAGGATTGTGACCAGATGACAAAGGTAGCATTGAAGGGTTTTCATAGAGCTCCAAAGTCCCTGAGTAGCCTCAAAGCAGACTATTCCCAAATACCAGAATATTTTGAAGGAATCAATAATGATCTCATTTCAGAAACCAAGAGGAGATTTGTAGCTGTAGGCTGTATTCATTAATGCTGAAATTGGCTGAAAGTCTTGGTAGTTGATTCTTACAAATGTTAGCAGTAGATTGTCTAACAGCCCAAAAAGGTGGCTCTGAGGGAATATCAGAGGACACTGCCTGGCAGCTGGCTCTCTCATTTGGGTATGTATTTACTGGGTGTAATTAATTCAAAAATAGTTCAGAAGGATTCCAGAATTACTGTAAAAACACTGCTGCTCTTCTCTTCATGAACATGGGTAACTGCACTTGGGAGTTTTGTATGTGCCCCAAGAGGAGAATACCTGTAGGATCAGACTTTGTTTTCATTCAGTTGCTCAACCAAAAGAAAATTCTCACAGAAAACAACTGGCAAGAATGAATCCCAAGTTCTTAATTAACTTTAGGATGGTTGAACTGCTTTTTTCAAAACATTAATTCATCAGAAATATATTTCTCCCTAGTTTATGCATCGCTTGTGAACTACTTCATGCGTATTCTGATTTTTTTTTTATTCGGGAGTAATTGATTGATAAATTTTGAGGACATTTCTGCTGCAGCTTTCTGTATCAGTCTATTTTATTGAATGGCTCACTTATGTGGGCTGGTTTCTTTTACCCAGTTAGACTGGAGTGCATAGAGGGAGAAACCATAATGTTGGCTAAAGGAAAATAAATTCCTTGAAGAAATCCAAAAACCATTGTTTGCCTGAGAGGGAGGATTTTTTCACATGAGCAATAGTCTGAGAGGGACATTAAATTTACATTGCTTATACTCATACCAGGTTTGTGTAAAAGGCAAAGCTTTGTGGTGGAGATCCTTCTCCATAGAACTTTTAACAGAATTTTTTAGGGTTTTTTTTGGTGCCTGGAGAAACATCTGTTATCCTGCAGCTTGCAGCTGCACTGTCTGTGAGTATTTCCTGATCTGTAGTGAATTTGTCTTGTCCATGACCTCAAATGATTTTTGTTCATTCTTCCCTCAGTTTTGTTTGTTTCTGACAGAAATATTGAAAGCGTAAGAACCTCACATTAGCAACAAACTGGTTGCTTAGGCTGTGTCAGTGCTGGCTGTTCTGTGTTTGCAGATCCCTTTGGTCCCAGCATTTCTGCAGTTTATACCCATTACCTTAGGTATAGATGTATGTGTTGAAATTATGTCTATTACAAATAGAGCTTTTGTGAATTTGCATATGGAGATCATGTACTCTCATCCAAAAAGGAAAATGCTCAAGGGCATCAAACCAACCACAAATTAAACAATAAGAATTTCTAGCTTCAAAGATTTGTAGTCAATCAAAAGTTTGTTTTTTACTTTTGGATTCCATTGATGACTATGCTCAAGTCAATAAAAACCCAAAAAATTCATTATCCATCACAAATTATTCATTCACCTGCACCTCTTGAGATCCCCTGCTGTATTAATCTCAGGCTCTCCTGAGCAGAAATTGTCAATTACTTTGTGATGTGGTAGTGTTATTTTACAGAATGTGAACTGTAACTTGCAAGTCGAACTCAGCCTTCAGAACACAGAGGCCAGTATTTCAGGTTTTTAAAAAGGTTTTTTCACAGCCTCCTTAGTAGCAAAGCAAAAATCTTTTTAAGGAAGCATCAGAAATCCTGGAAGGAACGTTATTGCAATGGATTGTTGGTCTTTTCAATTAAAAACCACTAGAAAAGTAAAGGTGTGGAAGAAAACAGATTAGACTGCGATGGAACACTGCTAGCCTGAGCAGTAGGATAGAGACTGTTGAATTTATTTCTTATTTTAACTTTGGGTGGGAAAGGTTGATTTTAATGGAAATGTACACTCAAAGAGAATTTGTCTAAGGCACATGTTCCAAGAAAGAATTGCTCTGGGAGTAGATGTGGCCCTAACTATAGTTAAGGTTCCCACTAGGTAAAAAATGCAGATTACCTTTAAGTCACGTTATAATAGCAAAAAAGAAGCAAACTTATCAAAAGTCTTTTGCATTGCTGAATTTTGTCACAAGTTGGAATTATTCACACAGCCAAAAATAAAAGGCATCTACAAAGCCTATGTTATCATTAAACATGTAAGAGAATATGAGGTAACACACGCATTTCTGAGACCCAGAAGATGCCAAGAGAAATATGAGTAGCTGAGAAATGAATATTCAGTCACGCCATGCAGTACTGAGACCTGTTAGCAGTAAAAATGGGTTATGCCTTGCCTTAGTTCTGTGTTCCCATATTTTTACATTAGCAAATTTATGGTTTATATACCATAACTGTAGATTCTAGATACTTTTTTCATTCCTGCGTGAAATGAAAACAAAACAAAAAAAATCCATTCTCCTTCCAAAACACCAGACAAACATTTGCAAAACAAATTTTCTAAAATAAGTAGAAAACTATGACTTATTTTTATCAAGTTCAAGTTTCTGTTATATCATATAAAGAAAAAGCACAGAATTTATCAATGTAAATAAACAACAAAGCAATCTGTAAATAAAACAGGAATAAAATAATAGAGAAATCCTGTTCAAGTGGAGGAAACTTGGCTTAGATGGCTTCTTCAATCTGCAGTTCATAAACTTCACTTACATTCTTCACTTACGCTTCTCAATTTAATGGTTTTGTATCAGGAAGCAGCACCTCGCAGGCTGATAGATGATATATTGGGCTTTCAGTTTAGGATCTAATTTTGAATTCAGCTGTGGGTATGAGAGAGCTGCATTGTTTGTTTATGCTGTCTGAGGATTCAACTCTCTATAGCAGGATTATGATATGCAGCATAGAAAAGGGAAGCATCCTTCATCAAGTGCAAGAAAACATTTCATATAGTGGGCAATTATTTTCGTTCCTAGAAAAGAGGTGACGTATTAAATAATGGCATAAACAGCAGCTAATGGTGGATTGTACTATTATATTTCCATAGAGAATTTCTGCTGACATCATAGACTGCCACAGCAAAGCTTATAAGAATAGTAATCCATGCATTATTAATCCTGAACCTTTACTTTGAAGAATTTTATGATTTTGGTGTGATAATTTTTACTGTACTCTTGGTGTCGTTCCTAGAAGTCTCTCTTCATGCTGCAGCCCAGGACAAAAAAGTGGGATGCTCCATAGAAATGCCTTTCGGAGGACTCCTCCCTTGCCTCGGGGTAGGTTCAATGGAATTACAGGACCAGCATATCAACAGCTCGAAGAGTCCAGGATCACAGACCAGGACACCATACCTTGTCACGGGTGAGTAATGACATACCTGAAGGGAGCCAGCTAGTGCCTTTTGAAATAGTGGGTTTTAAAATAAAATAACACACATTGCAAAGCTGGTTTTCTATAGATAGCTTCGTACATAGGTTTGTTTTGAAAATGCACGAGAAATAGGCTGTTTTTTCTTCCCTTTTTAAATTCAGTTTATTAGAACATTGACTGTGAGCTCCAGCTGTACATAAGGTCTGGGTTTCAGAAGTGCTCCTGAGAACCTGCAGCTGCCTTTGAAGTCCTTTGCAATTGCTGAGATATTTTGCATAATATTTACATATCCCTATAGATTTCCAGAGACTTTCCAGTATATTACAAGCATATTTTATATAAAAATATATCTCAAATATATCTCAAATGGAATAAAAACCCCACCCAGTTTCACCTGTAAGTCACAGTGAAACTCTTCTCTCTGACTTACAGGTGAAACTGGTGGGGTTGTGTGTCTGGTGACTTCTTTTACATAAGTTTCACTCACACTTGTGTCATTGTTACTATTTGCTTCTTCTGAGGAAAAATTTATTTCCTCAAATTTATATTTATATTTATATTTATATTTATATTTATATTTATATTTATATTTATATTTATATTTAATTTATTTCATAATTTTTTATGTTTATTTCCTCTTGCAGTAAATGTATTGTTGTTCATTTGTGTGATATGTGCATATAATTCCTGGTGAAAATTTCCTACTGAAATTGCCGCCCTTGCAGAAAGGAGCAGGCTGGCAGTGTTATATGATGCAGGCTGTGGGAAGTGCCACAGCCTCCTCCCAGGCTGAGGAGTGAGGTACAAAACAGCAAAGCTGTGGGTAATTGTATTTACTCATGTCTAGGAGATCAGTGTGTGGTTTTACAAGTATCAGCTTGTACTGGCCTGTATTTTAAATTTGCAGTTCTGCAGAATTTGATACTGGGACCAGACTGGGCCCCCTTCTGGCCTCAGTCCACTCAAGCACTTCATCCATATTTTGTGCATTAAAGGATGTTCACCCTCTGAATATCTGCTGGTTTCACAGTGTTGGTGTTCTCATCAGATTTCCAGCCCAGACGAAAATTTCTCTTGTCCCCTGCAGAAGTCACACTGCTTCCTTTCTTCTCCTTTTTCACCTCCATCTTTCCCCATTGGGATGCACAAATCAAAGTGCTTTGTCTCCCTGATTCTGTGCATTCTGAACTTCATCCTCCAGCAGCCTGGCTGAGGCACAGCCAGCTCTCCAGGTGTGGATGGGGGTGTGTGTATATCAGTGTAAGCGCTTCCAGGGCTGCCCCAAAGCCTGCCAGAGCCACTGCAATCATTCCCATCCGTCTTAATGGACCTTGGCAGCCTTGTACACTGCACACCTTTAGCCACAGGGCTTACAGCAAAGCTGCTGGGACTGTGCTGAGTAAGACCCATTTCATATTTACAGTTTCAGTCCCTTCTGTCTCTCTTTGATGTGTATTTTTAATGGGGGCAATAAAATTATTGTGCTTCTTTCAGTTTCATTCTTTAATTTAGACTCTTACACACTGTATAACATAATTACTATTGAATATTTATAAATGTTTGCTTTTGTTGCTTGGTTTTAGGAAGAGGGTGGAGAGAGAGCTGCACTTTGAAACACATGCACGTGAATTAATTTATTCAGACAAAATAATTTTTCAGATAAAAACCCAGATATATTTCTTTGGAGGAACTGTGGTTCTGGGAAAGTTAATTATAGGAAAATGTAATTAAGGTTCTGCAATTATAGCTCTAAGTCTCAGTCTATTGAAAACAGCAGCAGTCTGGTGTCACACACAGAAGCATGGATCAGTTTGTAATTAACTAAAAGCCAAGTCTCACATGGTTTAGATATAATATCCCTTCTAGTTTAATACCTCACCTGTTGCACACAGTGTATGCACTTTAATTCAACCTCAGTCATCCTTTGAAAGCCCTGTGAGCATGGGGCAGAAATATGTAATTCTGGCATAAAATTGGTATGTCTATCTGTATTTCAAAAAATATTATGGAAATACGCCAGGCATTGCATTACATGTCACTGCTGCTGACAGCTACTTTTCAAAATACCAAGAATAATTGAATCTCTATTGTGGAACTGGCAAATATTACTGTTTTCTCACCAAACCCATTTTAATTCAGTCTTTTCCTGTTTTTGCTTATATATCATCCATATAATACCTACATTGCATGTGAAATTCATTAAAAACATTCACTCCCTTTGTTTTCAGGGTGCAGCCCAGAATATATTTAGGGCCTGAATTACCAAAAAAGGGACTAATGCAACTGATGCGATCTCTCCAGCTATAGTCGTTTGAACAATTATATATAAGCAAAGGAAACAAGAATGGGCACAACCCAAAGGTCTGCACTGTTTTGTTTTCATTTATTTTTTTTAATTGTCCTCCCTCAGGAATAATACCCCTGACCAGAGTCCTGAGAGCTGGTGTAGGGAGCCCCCCAGGAATGGCTATGGGTGTGTCTGAGCACAGTGCCAGTGCACTCAGCCAAGGCTGAGCCTCAGATGTAAAACAGCTGCAGCTGTAGAGCACAGACAGGAAGTCCTAGCACACATCCCAAAAAGCTGCTTGCTCTACTATTCCCCTGGGTGCCACTTCCCAAAGCAGTATCTCTTTCCCCCACCCAGCAGCAGAGTTCCCAGCCCTTCCCTCTTAGCACAGAGCTCCCAGCTGCCCCTCCTGGGGATGGCAGCGGTGCTGTGCCGTGCGGAGCTCCACCTGGGCAGGGGCTGTGTGCAGCACTTGGACAAACTCAGTGCCACCACACACAGCTAATTACAGGTCAGTGGCACTCTGCTGGAAACGAGCCTGAAGTTGTCTCCTGCTCCCTCCTGCCTGACACCTCACCAGGAGCATGGGGCCAGAGGAAGCCTTCCCAGTTAATCACTGTTTGTGCCAATACTGGACTACAGCGGTTTCACGTGATTCAGTTTCTCTTCCTTAGCTCTTTCTCTGCTGATGCCAAAAAACAGGAGGCACATGTGAATAGAAGGATATTCCTAGTGAGGGCCAGCAGGCTTAAGGAACTTTTGGAATAATACCCTTCAAGTCAGTGCTTCCACACCAGATCTAAGTGTTGCTGTCCTCATCCATGGATAAAACATATTAGATTCACCATTACCTTGCCTTATTAAATAGTGATAAGCTGATTATAAATAAATTATGTTCTGGTACTGAGGTGATGTCTGTGGTCCATAGCAATCATGACTGGTAATACAGTAACTCCTAGAGCACCATATTTCTAGAAGTACTAATTTCTAACATCTAATTTCAGATGGGAAACATATTTTTTTCTTTATTTTTTTGGTCATTGTTTATTTTATATTTATTACACTTTTCATTTCTGTTTTTTTTTAAAGTATTTTTTATAAACAAAGCAGAGTTTGGCTTTGAAACAAAATGGAAATGTTGATAAAAATTCACAAAGTTTCCACACAATCAATAAAATCATGTTATAATATGTGTTAGAGGAGGATAAAGGATTTTTTTTTTAATGGTATTGCAGTATCAAGAGAACACAGACATTTGCTCAAGTCCTATATATTAGCTCTATTTCCAGATGAAATCTAATAAAACAAATCAGGCCAACTTTATGAGTATGGGCTATTGAAAAAGGATATTTTTTCAGAGGTACACTGCACTTACATGCTTTGCTTGTTTGAAGGGGAGTACAGACAATCATTCCTATGTAAATAAAGACTACACAGCCATGAGTGTTTAATGTTCTTTTTATCTGCACCTTTTTAAAGTGTTTTCGTGAAACAACCATATGACTTTGAGAGTTCTGACATTGAAGAAAATATCTATCCTTTTCCCCAGTCAGAAATGGAGGAAATAGAATTCCAAATTTATTTTCGAAGAAAATTAATAATACATTGTAACTATATCTGAAATGTTTTAAAAAGAAATTTCCATTATTCTCATATCGTGGTGGGCGAAATGAGACTGAGAAAAAAGCAGTTCTTTGCCACTGGCAGATCTGAGAATCAAAACCAGTCTCCAGAGCCTGTTGTTTTCCCCAGGGCCCCACCACGGCCAAGTGCTCTTGTATTTCAGGAGAAAATGGTGTGTGTCTCTTCGGCACAGTTCACTGAATCTCACACAGTGTCCCCGCTTCTGGTCGCATCTCACCACTTGATGTACAACAAGAACTCTTCTTTACTCTTTCCAGGTATTCATCCAGTGGTTTAAAAACTCCTCAGAATACTTCAATAAATATGCAACTGCCTTCAAGAGAGACAACCCCATATTTTAATAACGTGGATCAGAAGGACTTGGTCGGCTATTCCTCTTCAAGGGCCAACTCCGTTCCCATCATCCCGTCTGTGGGCTTGGACGAAGCCTGCATGCAGATGCAAAATGTTCCTGAAGTAACAGGCATCAAATGGTGCAAAAACTCCTATTCTGCTGAACTTGTCAATGTGAGTTCCCCAGTCAGTAATTGTCTAATAGCAGAACAACACGAAGTGAAAATATTGCTAGAAACTGTGCAGGAGCAGATCCGGATCCTGACGGACGCGCGGCGGTCGGAGGACTTTGAGCTGGCGAGCGTGGAGGCGGAGAGCGGCGCGAGCGAGAACACGGCCTTCCTGCCCATGAGCCCCGTGGCCAAGGCAGAGCGAGAGGCACAGTTTGTCTTAAAAAGTGAAACGCAAAGAGACTCGGTATTGACCAAGTGACTCCGTGTGGGGGTTGTGGGAGGGGAAACGAGAGGTCTGTGCATTCGACGCTTTGCTAAACAGGAAGGGAGGAAGTTAAATACAAATTATTTATATGCATTAATTTAAGAGCATCTACTTAGAAGAAACCAAATAGTCAATCGCCCTCATATCATAGTGTTTTTTAACAAAATATTTTTTTAAGGGAAAAGTTCCAGGAGGGATGAAGCGTGCTTTTAGATGCTTTCTAGGCAGGATTACACAGTTTCAGTTACAGAGGATTTTACCGCGGTCCTGTTCGGCTGTCCGAAGGCTTAGGCTATGCATCTCTTTTTCAGTAAAGGCCAAGTACCGTTCTAAGATGCATTTCTGGTTTCAGGGCAGCACTGCAGTGAGCTGCTGGGCAGGGATTCAGAGCCTGGGGAGCACGTCCTGTGAGCCCAACACAGATCCAGTCCCCTGTCCCCCTCTGCTCTCGATTCCTGGTTCACACCACAAAAGCAGGCACACAGACACGTACTTCTGAGCTCTGGTACCTGCTGTGGAATGGTGACAACGCCCCTGAATTGAGCAGCTGCTTGACTCTCAACCTTAATTCGATGTGTCAGTCACCCCAGTAAAGTCAGTGGAATCATTTATGAGCTTTGGGATTGGCCAAGAGTGGGAGCAGGGTTGGGGTCTGCAGAGATTCAGTGGTCAGGAGCCCACAGCTGCTCCCTCTACTGAGCTTTGCCTATCAGAGCTGCCTTGGTGGAGAGTGAGGAAGAGCAAGAGAAAATGTAGAGATGTCTATTACAACAGGTTTGGTTTTGGTTTCTGGTTTGGATTTTTTAAGTGGAAACATAAGCTCTGTTGTTTGTTAGCGCCCCTCAACATTTCTAAACTTTTACACTTTAAAGGCATTTGTAAGCTCTCAAGGAGCACTTCTTAGTGTGTGTGTATTTTTTTTAAACTTATTTTTTTATTATGGCTTGTTCAGAGAAGAGTCAGGGAGATCCAGTATGATCAAAATCCAGCCAGTAAGTGTCCACGCTGCCTAATTTGTTCCTGCATTCAGTTCTCCAGTCACTTTAATTAACTATGGCTTAGGCTTGTGAACTTTAAAGCTTCAACCCTGCAGATGGTTCAGTATGGGCAGACCCACAGGCATGCAGAGATCTGACTCCAGTGGAGCTTTCTAAGAGCAGATGGTTTCCACCAAGTCACTCCCTGCAGGGGATCAAGGCCTTAGAGAGGATGTTGCCACATCCTAATCACATTATAAGCCCTTTTTGCATTAGCTTTCTTTTGAGTCCCTCTTCCCCCCGCCCCCCCCATAAATTGTAACAAAATGTGCAAATTTTGCAATGAATTGGGTTCAGTGACACACCTTATTGGGTTTATAAGTGTTAAAATATCTGCTTATTCTCGGGGGGACAAAATCAACTATAATAAATAATTGCTAAATAGCCTTCCCTGGTTAGTGCCTGGAGATTGATTAAAAATAATAATTAAAAAATAGAGTATATACAGAATGTATTTAAATATTCCTTTGAAGCAAAATAATTGTTAGATTTGTTAATGTGCCCCAGTCTTTCTAGTTCACAAGTCTCAAGACTTCCCAAAATAGCACAATCAATCACACAGTGCTGTTGTATGTTGAGTCAGAATAAAGCAATATCTTAACCTTTGTCAAGTAAATTTGGAAAAGAAATGCTGAAGGTGTATGTCATTTTTATTTTTTTTGTTAAGGCAGTAAAAAAAAATTATTATTGACAGTCTTCATTCAGCAAGTCTTATTTTGGGTTGATTTTGTGGTTTGGGGGGTTCTTTTAAAGATAAACTTGATGAAATTTTCCTGTTTACAGAATTTTCTATGGCTGCAATCTTTGCTGTGTGTTTTCAACAGAAACATATTTGAGGGCAAACTATTGTTTTATGCCCCAGGACGGAGTGTGAGCTGTTCAGACTCCCTTCTGCAAAGACACAGAGCTTTTGTTGTAGCAGTGAGGTGGGATGCCCGTGGGATTTGGTCTCACCCTGACGTTTTCCTGCCATATGTGGTGGTGGGCACAGCCTCACTGTGCATGAGCTGAGCTGACTGCAGTGGGTATGGCCCCAGATAAACCAGATAAACCCTCTGAGGTGCAGGGTGCATTGGCTGGGGCTCAGCTTTGCTCCCCTACCGTCATTTGAGTTTTCTGTCAGCACCATTTGCATCCCCCCCCTGTCTCAGGACATGAGCAAAGGGAGCTTGCCTCTGCCCATAAGCCCTGTGAGCATACCTGAATTTTCATATTATATGAAAAGTGGGTACTATATAAAGCTCTGTTTTAACAATTTTCAAATGGTGATCACAATTAATGAATTGTTCACCATTAGTTTCATCGAGATGGTCTCTCTGCAATACAATGCAGAATCCTGCTCAAACTGATGTTTAAAAATCAAATCTTTTCAATTCAGATGCAAGATCTTCCCCAATCTGCAAATTCACCTCTGGCAACGTAATGGGAACACACAGCAAGATTTCAGCTGAGGAAAGAACCATGTCATAAGCAATGCCTTTAGGGAGAGAATGTGTTCATGCAGCACCCCCGAAAGACCCAGAAAGAGGAGATGAGCAATGTATTTAAGAGAATGAAATGTTTTACTGAATGGTAGCTGAAGATCTGAAATGGTGAGGATATCTTTGGTTCATGTTAGAGATACGATCTTGTACTCAGCAAAGGATGTGTGACTGTTATATGTTAACTGTTCTATTCAGTTCTCAGCATGTTTGAATAGAGAGACGTTAATATTAACCAATGACAGACTAGTGTATTATTTGTTCAGAGCATCGCTTCAGATCTTATTGAAACTGTCATTATTTGCAGAGGAAAACAAAAAGTGTTGAAAGCATCCAACTAGGCAGCCTTAATGTTGTTTGTGTGGTTTTCTGATGCAGCTGTTTTCCTCTGTGGACCTTCCTGTTTTACAGTGAATGGGGCAACATTTTCTCTGAGGTCTGACAATTAATTGTGTAAAGCATCCGAATGAAAGCCGTACTGGAACAGCCGACATGGTAGGCCAAAGTTTGCTTTACTTCTGGTCCCACTGAACTTGTGGATTGGAAGGGATGCAAGTCATTGAGAAATGCAATTCATTCCTAAAAGTACACCTGTTCCCAGCCTTGGAGACAGTCTGTAATCCCCCTAGAAGAGGCTCTGAACTCAGTTGTTTACGTGGATCATAATTAAAAATGTTATCTGACCTATGAAGTTCCAGGTGTAGTCTGGTGTGAAAATTTACACACGTAGCATTGCATTCAAGCAGACTGTGAGAGCAGCTGACTAAATGAATTGAACTTTCTCTGAACTGATCAGAGAGAAAGCCTGTGTCTCCAGCACAACACCATGGAGAATTGTGAGAGGTGTATATCCTGATCTTTTTTAAAAATTTATTTCTCTTTAGAATTTCTTCAGAAACAATCCAAAATAGCCCTAAAAAAAAAAAATAAAAACCAGTAGAACAATAACAGCATTTGAAATAGGAAATGTAGGTAAGTATGGGCACATTTCATAGTGTTTACCATTGAAAAACTCTTCAGTACCCCAAGGCCCAAAGCTGGAACGCTGTAATTTTTTTGTTGTTTAGATCAACAGAGGGTTCTGTGGAACAAGAGCTCTTCAGAATGCCTTTGGTGCCTGGCCACGCTGTCAGCTGGTGTAGTCAGTGCAGCAATGACAGTGTACATGAAGAGAGGATCACATCCCAAATCCCTGCTACCTGGTGTCCAGTGTGGGGTCACAAAGCCTAGCGGTCTCCCGTGTGACGTGAGCACTGCTACTCTGATTTATTTCGCCTCTGAGCATCCCAGCAGAGCGACAACACTCTCAGCAAAGCATGGGGTGAGGCTCCTTGGCCAGGGATTGGGCTCCAGGTCCATCTGGAACCGGGCTGAGCGTCCCTGGCCAGGCTCTAGCAGCAGTGTGGCTGATCCCAAAGCCATGCAGCAGTATCCTTCACCTTTAAATTCTGAAAAAAACCACGAGTTGATGGCATGTGCTTATGACCAAGCATGTGCTCAGTATGCTCCCAAATTGAAATGTTAGCAGGTAATTCACATCTGCTTCTCATGTAAGCAGGGAGAAAATCTGGATTCCTTTTCCCAGTTTGTCCCCAGGTTCCTGTAGTCTCCTTATGGACATTACTTGAACGTTTCTTACTCTTATAAGAAATTCTGAAAATGACTACCAAAGAAGAACTCTGAAAGAGTCCTGCCTGCAGTAAATAGATTTGAAGCTTGAAGGAGCAGACCTGGAATAAAAACTGGGTTTGAAAGTGGTGTTAATATCAATTGCCTTTCAATAAAATGAAATTTCCCCGTACACTCTTTACCCCTTGGGAAAACAATGAGCTTATAAAGTGATTTATTATCTTGCCATGAATTTAAAATGTTTATCTTCAAGGAGATTGGGAAAAAGTAAATATTTAGTATAGATTTTTCAGCTTTTGTGATTTAATTTTTTTAAAATTTTATTTCAGCAGCCTAACAGGTCAATGAACCCATTATCTGTATTGTCTGACACATATTCATAAAGTCTCCTCTTTTGTGGTCCAAAAGCTGCAATGCTATATTTCCTTAAAGAGATCAAGATTTTATCTAAATTTTATATTTAAATTATTCATAGAATAATATAGTTATTTATCTTGCTGAAAATGTAAAGTGATACAAACTTTTTTTGGGTTTTGTACTGCATTATTGCTGCAAGGTTGTGCTTCCTTTGTTTTGATGTCTGCTTACAGGAAAACAACGCCAAGTTTTCAGTTTTAGGCTTAGCACTTTCAAATCAGGCAGGATTTCTGTTTTCCATAGCAAAGTTCAAACATGACATAGAATGAAAAAGTTACAACAGCAGTAAAATTACTAATAAAGTAGGCTTCTGTTTGGGTTTTGAGGGTTTTTTTTAATTTTTATTCCATGGCAATCAGAGGATTGTGCTGTGGGAATTGATGGTCTCTTGGAAAAAATACAGAATGTTTTAGAGAGAGTGGAAAGTCAT